TCTATCTATCTATCTATCTATCTATCTATCTCAGCTATGGTGGTAGTCTTCCAACATCTGCCCGACCAGTCTCCTCATACAGTCGCACGAGCGTTCAGCAGCGCTTCCGCAACATGCGACTTGACAAGTGAGTTCATCAAAGCACTGTGGCTCTATAAATAGCGGCCAAATTAAGATCTTTGTCGGCTCCAGAGTGGTAACGGTCTCCCAAGGCCCATCGGCTGTACTTTTGCCGGTTCTGGGACGCCTTTGCGAGGATGCTGCTGCTAAAATTAGACTGGGACTTTGGACTTTTCTTGTCGGGTACAGGGCCTGTTGGACTCCAAAGGACTCTAGACTCTCTGTCGGCCTACCGGTACCCTATCGACCTACGGGACCTAAGTTCAGCACTTCGGCCGCTGGGCCTGCCGAATCAGTTACTTTTTTTGGGACTGGGACCATTGGGACTCTGGGACCGGGATGTGAGACTACTGGTACGCGAAATCCTCTCAATTCTCACAAAGCGCAAAAACACGAGCACGCAAAGGTCACACTGCGGCATCACTAGGCGGTACTGTGTGCAGTTGATGGTATTATGCGGCCAGGGTGATATTACGTACGTTGGGTGCTACCATGTGAAGTCGGTGGTTCGGCTGTGGGAGAGCATGTGGAATTGTCCATGCTATGTGGAAGTGTATGGTTCTATAAGGCCTGGGCGGTGCAATACGGGGTAGGTGGGTTATGTGGGTGATGCTATGTGGGGATACACTTCTATGTCACCTGGGAAGTACAATATGGAGTAGGTGGGTTATGTGGGTGATGCCATGTGGGGTGCACTGTGGGATGCCGTCCCTCCTGCCCCTGGCTCGCCCCCCTCCCACGTCCCCCGCGGCTCCCGGGGAAAAAGGAGAACCAAGATAACTTGACCCCAAAAATAATAAATAAATATAAAAGGATTGAGCCCCACTGTACTTAAGGTGTTGGAAGCTAGGAAGATTTCCATGACCGGCCGGTCACCCGGTCATCACGACCGGACCGGTCCCATGCCCGGGTATCCCGGTCATCAAAAAAAAGGGCCCAGAATTTTTTTATTTTTTTATTTTTTTTGCGGGGTTGTTCCGCGCTCTGTTGACCCCAAATCCGGGGTCTTTTTTTTTTTCGGTGACCTCAGGCCTGGGGGGTTTCGGGGGGGGAAGAGGAGGGTCGGAGGATGAGTCGGATCTGACTCGGAGGACGTTTTTTGTTTTTTTGTTTTCGTGTCCTATTTCGCGCTACCTATAGACGACGACGAAAAAGACGGGAGCAGGAGGAGGAGAGAAGAAGAAGAAGAAGAAGAAGAAGAAGAAGAAGAAGAAGATTTGCCGGCGAGAAAAATGACAGGGGGAGGAGGGGAGGAAGAAAACGATCAAATAAGGTGGAGGAAGATGAAGAAAACGATAGGGGGATGAGGGGGAGAAGAAGAAGAGTGGAGGAGGAGGAGAGAAGAAGAAGAAGAAGAAGAAGAAGAAGAGCGGAGAAGGGGAAAGAGGAGGATCGGAGGATGACGGTTTTTTTTGGTTTTTTTTTTCCCTATTTCGTGCTACGCCGCTACCTACCGAACGACGACGAAAAAGATGGAACACAGGGGCGCCGTCACGGCGTGTCCTATTTCGCGTTACCTACTGAACGACGAGGAAAAAGATGGAACATTCGGGCGCCGTCGCGGCGAAGTCGGGGGGGGGGAGACGAAGACGAAGAGGAAGAAGAAGAAGAAGAAGAAGAAGAAGAAGATGGTGGGTGGCGGGGCGATGTCCGGGGCGATGGGCAGCTGGACGAGAATAAGAGAAAGAAGAAGAAGAAGAAGAAGAAGAAGAAGAGGAGGAGGAGAGAAATGGCTGGAAAACTCTCTCTCTCTCTCTCTCTCTCTCTCTCTCTCTCTCTCTCTC